CCTATCCTGCTGTACGCCCCCCTCCTATGAGTTTAGATGGTTGAGCAATTTGGGCTTGGGATGGGCTGCCACAGAGCTTGGCCCAAGTTTACTTGGCCCCGACTAAAGCTATTTTTTCCTTTAATTTTGTTTCTTCTATGAGGTATTACATTTTTTTGTTTTGGGGCATTACAGGTAGCCTCCACCTACTGTGTGTTTGTGTGTGTGAGAGAGAGAGAGAGAGGAAGAAGTGGTGATGATGGGCACGGTGGCATGGATCTAGCCGCCATAGGAGAATGGGTCAGCTCTACTCGTGGAGAAGAAGAGAGAGACGAAGGGGAGGAGATGGCCTACCATAGGAGAGTGGGAGGGAGGCTAGGCTCCGGCTGGCAGAGATTCGTGGGACAAGGAGGCGATGGCGCTAGCTAGAGAGAGGGGGTGTTGGACTGAGAAAGAGAGAGCGTGAATGCATGAGGAAGTGAGAGGGGGTTGGGGGCATGTGGTTTATGATATATTGTTAGGGTTTGTGTTAATGGTCCTGAGCCTCTTTCACTCGCGGACGGACCTCTTAATAGGGTCTCCTCTGTAAATTTGTTTTTTTAGAGGTGGGCTAATCCCATTGGCCCTAAGATTATTTACAGAGGCGGTGGAAAAATGACCACCTATGTCCAAAAGAATATATTGATAGTTGTAATATTTAGTTTCAAAAATGAAAATGAATCTAAATATATCTGATGATTATCCACATGCATGCCTCTTCCCTTTTCTTCATGAGGGTTGCTAACATGTTTTGTCTTCTTCATGGGTTTAATTAATTAGTATCTGCTCATAAGATGCTCACTAAATTTCATTAGCCTCTTAATATCTTGTCATCCAATTATCCAACACCAACATAGTGGGGAGCATAGATGCCTTCCTTAGATCATGGTCATATATAACATCTGTGGATTTGTTTATTAAATATAATTTTGATATAAAAATATGAAAAATTGGCCCACATTCTCTGGTAAATTTTTTGTATGCATAGAAAAAACATAATGTTTTATGAAACTATTATAACGACGACAAAAATCTTACTCAGGCCAATTTCATATGCTCAACCTCGATATGTAAAGTTGTAATTGATGGTCTTGAATAGATTATGTTTAAGTTACGCCTTGTTTGATTTTTATTGAAGTGTGAATCTAATGCTCACTACTCCCTCCTCCACGCCCTCACCCCTAATAATTAGATTAAGCTAGCTTTTGGTGAATTATTAGTTAGTGCTTGCAATTCATTACTACTAGTTTACTACTAGATGAGATCTTATATATCTCTGCAGAGCATTGTACACTTGCATACACAACATGCGCATGTTCATGTGAAGAAGAAGAAGCAGCAGCAGACGACTATAATTAAGAAGAAAATAATAAGCATATCTCTGCACAATCTTATCATGATCAAGAACCAAGTGCGGGTAAAGCAGAACACATACAGAATATTCCACGATGATTCTGACAGAACGAGGAAATAAAGGCCTTAATTACTAGCTAAATATCTTGATGACATTATGGTTGACAGTCAGTTCTACATGCGCGTATATTATACTTGCAGTTGATTAATCACTACCAAGTCCGTAACCGCCGAGCATGCATGAGACATATCTTGAGCTAGCTGGCGTCAACTAATTAATGTAAAATGCTAAAACGTACGGCGCAGCAAAGTGACTGAGGATAATAAACTTTTGTTACTACGTACTACTTGACGAGCTAAAGATACTGATTATATTCTAATAAGTATCTTGCTTGCATTGCCTGCTCTGCTTTTTTGGGTCAAAATATCTCCAAACTGAGCGAGAAGTGTGGTTGATGATGATGACCTCACCCCGGGCGGCGTTAGTTTAATTTTACTGAAAGAGCCAATATTTATCGATATAGATACATCGACCCACGTAATCATCGTAAGTGTATAACGCCTGGACGGTTGTCGCAGCGTTTAGTAAAATACGAGGATCAGTTTCATTGATAAAATTATCCTTACTTGACAGGGTTTCAAACGGCTTTAGCTTAATTGCTACAGTAGGGGGAAACGTCAATAGCATGGAGGCTGCCGACCAGAATTCAAATCCTAGGTTGCACGAAAAAAAAAAGGTCACTCGTTGTGTACTATCTACAGAAATATATGTGCTGCAGGTGTGTGTTGGGCAGCTTGTTTTTAGGGTCTTTTCTCAACCCTGCAATCCGAGAAAACTTATTCCTTCTACGGTATACCTTGGGAGACATCACCATGGGTCGAGACAGTGCTAGCACCCGGACGTCTATCTGGACGCGTCTGGACTCCGCCCCGCGCCAGACCGACGCGACGTCTGCGCCTCACCCAATCCCACGCGGTGTCTACGCCCTCGCCCGACCCATCGTGCCCCCTCTAGCAGCTACAGTAGGCAGGTGGCATTAAAACATGTGCAACACTCGATCTGCTTTTGAAACATCTAGATGCAACACTTGCAACATATGTTTGAAGACAGATAAAACACTTGAAATGTGCTTCTCAAACACTTGCAAAAAACACCTGAAAAATACTTGAAAACCAATGCAAACATAAACAACATCCAGATAAAACACTTACAATATATGTGTGAAACATTTGCAACATCTAGATAAACACTCATGCAACATACGTCTGAAAACATAGATGAAACATTGGGAACAGACCCTTGCAACATACGTGTACAACCATTAAAACATACCACATCTACATTTGCAACATCCATATTGAACACTTGAAACATACCTTTAAAAGACTTGAAATATACACTTGCAATATGTGCTTTCAGCACAACATCTCCTTGCTGCTTCGGATAATGAAGGCTTGTCGGCGTGCCGGAGGCGGCGGCGGCTTCGTGACGTGACGGCGAGGCATCACCCACACGACTGGGAGAGGGCAGCCGCGCAGTCTTGCAACAACGCCGGTGCTCGTCCCCGAGATCCGGCAGTCGCCGAGGCCCATGGCGTCAAACGCCCAGAGGAGGAAGCGGCGGATGTACCCCAGCAGAAGAAGGAGGTGGAGCGGTTTCTTCGGGAGCACCAGCTCGGAGTAGCCCACCGAGAAACCCATGCCGGCCGCGACCAGGGCAACGCTTGTCCGAATTTACTGGCTTCCCTTGGGTGTTCGTGCCTTTTGGCTTGCGCATTGCCCCTGGAGCATATAGGAACGAGTGGATAAGAGGATAGGAGCGACTGGACAACATTTTTTTTTGAGAAACTCCTGAGCGGATGGGAGGGGATAGTTGGGCTGGCGTCGTAGCCCACCAAGGAGCGTTTGGGTGGACGGACGGCCGCACCGCAGCATTACCGTTTTTTAAATTGCTACAGTATCACGAGAAGTTAGTTTTTTTTTTTAGAAAGAGAGAAAATATTCAAGTACTACTGGTGCAGGTGAAGCCGAAGCGTAAGCCCTGCCAAAAAGAACCTAATTACTTGAAGCGGATCAATCTTCTCTCTGTTCTCTTACTATGATAATTTTATGCATGCAGCGGAGCTGCCACTACGGCCGCACTAACATTTAGTATCAGTTTTATGCATGTGATCGATCTTCTCCTACGCCATCCTACGATATCAACGAATTCTTGTGTTGTAGTACCTACTACCTACTTAATTACTAGTATGTTGTATGCAGCTAGTTAATTACCTCAGCGATGATTATTATTGAGTGGTTAGCTGTCAATGAGTGATTAGTAGCAAGTGATTCACTTGCATTAGTTAGCACATAATTAAAGTTTTCTTTGCGTTGTTCGTTTTTTACTTTCTTTCCGTGATGCTTTCATTTGTTCAACTTCTTTTTTTTTCTCTCTCTCCCTCCTACTCGCTCCTCCAACTGACGCATGCACGCGTACAGCTGACCAGTCAACGCGAGTTGCTTACGTCTGCATTCTCGTGGGATCCACCATGCATGTACACCGGCTGGCAACTGCTGTAGACCTGTAGTTCGTGCAACTTGGGACATCACTCACGACGGTCAAATGGGCACCAGTGAGATATCTTTTCCATTTAATTTGAATTGGCGCTACACGTTAAATTTCTTACACAGTTCGAAGGAAAAAGTCTGAACGAAAACCACGGGCAAACATAACAAGACTTCTGAACAAAAGAAGAAACAGATACTTTCAAAGAGAAAGAAGAAATGTTGAGAGATGCTGTACAGCTCAAAAGCAAAACAGAGCCACACCTTGTTTTTAGTATCAGTGACGTGGTAGCAATGCCAGAGGACATATATAGACCTCGAAATGAGCCCTAAGACGAGTGGCGGAGCGTGAGATAAAATCAAGGGTGGAGGGGGGGCAACTGTAGTAAAAAGTAGAGTTATTCTTTTGTCTTCTCAATAGAAGGTTGGTGGGATAAGAGAGCTTGGAGATCGACACAGCTATTAAAATTTCCTTTCAGAGGAGCTTCGCAAGAGAGATTGATGGGATCGCAGAGTTTAGAGATAGATGGGTACAAGTATTACAATTTCCTCTCAAATCAACTGGTCAAAGGGAGCGGATTTGAATGCTCTTGCCAAACAGATTGTTGGCGCATGTGCACCGCACCGCTCGCTCTGCTCTTTTTTTTTCCTGCCCCCTCTCTTCTCCACTTTCCCTGCTGCGCCTAGTTTACTCTCCCAGCTCGGCAGGTCCGTCCCCGTCCAGCTGCATCGCAGCCGTACTAGCCAGCAGCAGCTTCCTCGCGTTCTTCAGTCTCATCATCAATACCTTACATTACATTACTTGAGATTCAGTAGCTAGCTTTATGCCTGCTTTGCTGTTGTATACTAGTATATTCTTGTTCCGGCCGGTCTATCTGATCACATGACCTTTTTTTGACAGACAAGAAGAAAGAGGAGAGAACAATTCAGCTGGAAGCCATGAGTGTCGTGTTCGCTTGGCTGATAAATCATGGCTGAAAGTATTTTTAGCTGATTTGTTGTGAGAAAAAAATATTGTTCGTTAGTTGAAAAAGTACAGCTTATAAGCGAAGCGAACGGGACGGAGGACAAGGAATCCGACAATGTCAAAGGTTGTCGATCGGGGGGACGAACTTTCAGCTAGTTTTTGTCAAAATTTTCTTCTTTTTAATTTGTATGTAAACAAAGCCAGTCAGCAGGAATTAATAGGATGCCTTTTAAGCAGTAACCGAGATCAGTCTTCCCTCTCTTGTTCTTTCGTGCAGTCATCGTCGTGGCCAAAGGCCAAGACGGTTGTAAAGAAATGGCTCAACCTCAAGGACTCCGAGTTCCACTCCGACTGCATCGGTAAGCTTCCCCAGCCTACCACCTCCTTTCATTCTTTCTTTCAGCTCTAGGATTTTGTTTCAGTTTTCCTTTTTCCCTCCAAGCTTTGACATCCCTGCTCTGATGACAAGACTGCTATGTGGTTGGCTGCTTGCTTGACCAGATGAGAGGTTTGGAGGAGAGACGATGAGGAGGAGGAAGAGCTGCTCCGATAGAGACGACCTGTCAGGTAGAGTACTAAACTGTACATTGCAACTCTTTCGCCAAGCAAGCACAACACCCTTCTCTCGCTGTGTTGAAAAAGCAAGCGACTTTTCACCAAGCATCTGCATCCTTCTCTTCTCTCGCTGTGTCGACACATACAGGGTATCACATCGCGTGTCACACGAGGGTGTTGCATGGATGTTCGGATACTAGTAAAAAAATAAATTATAGAATCGGTCAGTAATCCGCGAGATAAATTTATTAAACCTAATTAATCCGTCATTAGCGTATGTGTTACTGTAGCACCACATTATCAAATCATAGATTAATTAGGCTTAAAAGATTCGTCTCGTAAATTAGTCATAAATATGTCTGAATATTCGATGAGATAGGAAGTACACTATTTCCTCGTGGTTTTGTTTCGTCTCCTGCCATGCACGTCGACTGCTGCTGTACCTGTAATCCGATCCAGGTGGCTGGCTGGTGGAGGAGAGCTGTGACGACCTGCGGCGGCCGCCTCTTCCCCGCCCCCGGTACGGCTCCTCGGCGGCGCCTCCTCGGCGACTGCTGCCATGAATGAACTGGATGCTATGTTTTTCTGAACATGGCTGATGGGAATACTTTGGGACTGCCGACCTCTGCCTCTGGGCTGTGCCTTCTCTGTTTTTTTTTCCTAGAGCCGGTGGTTGCAGTCACAGGGATTGTATAATCTCGTAGCTATGCCTAATGATGCTGCTAGCTAGTACTAGAATAGTTTTTAGATTACTTCAAGAGAAAGAATATTTTTTTTAGAAACTACTCCAATACTGATCCAATACTGTATGTGTTCTAATATACAAGGGTAGATGAAGCCATGAAGGAATTAATGGTCAGTAACTGTAACTGCTGCATTCTTTTTCTTCAGGATGTTCGTTGGGACATGGAACGTAGGAGGGCGAGCGCCGCACGGAGGGCTGGATCTCTCGGACTGGCTCACCGACGACGGTCCTGATTCCTCCTATCCTCACATCTACGTCCTCGGGTACGTGTCTGTATTATTACTCCTATACACAGCATGTATGATGTGTTTGCCATCTTTAAACATGTAGTAATATGTTCAGCAGTTCTTGTGAACTCCTCGGCAGTCAACACTTGGCAGCCTATTCATCATCTCTGAAACTTTCTTCACGGAGAAAGCAAATGATATTGCTAGTCTAAAACTCTGAAGGTTGCTACTGATTACTGAACACTGAGCCAGGCAGGAATGGTTTAGCCCCCGTTTCAGAGCTAATCCCTGCATTTGTCAGGAAGCTCCACTCCGATCCACTCTTGGTAATCACGAAACCAGAGTGTCCTGGCACAGGAGTTGGCAGCCCTTTGTGTGGATTTCAGTGTCCTCAAAATACAGCAGGAATGGATTTCACATGAACAGGCGTCTTTCAAGCAGAACAGTATTTTTCTTTCATAGCAACCTAACCAAAACAATATTTTGGCTTATTCAGCCAGCCAGCCGAACAGATTTCAGTGTTGCGTTAGTTTCTGAAGCTAATCATTATGATTAGGGCGTGTTTTTTTCTCTAGTCCTAGGACAAATACTAAAATAGGAACTAAAATGGTGTTCGTTTTCGGGTACTCAAGGGGATGAGAGAGACTACGAGGGAGGAGAGAGAGGGAGGGGTATGGGCTGTTTAGTCCCAATTAACAGTCCCCAAGAGACTACTATATTTTAATCCCTAGTCCCTGTTTTAGTCCATGGTGTTTGGTTCAAAGGGACTAATTGGAACTAAAATTTAGTTTTTAGCCCCTTCTCCCATCGAAAAGAGCACGCATATCGATGAAATCTGGTCGGCAGTCTACCGAGGGGTATACCCACGGTAGTAGATGAACGGTGGAGGTGCGCGTAATATGAACCGGATGGTGACACAAGGCGCAGAGACAGCGATTTAGACAGGTTCAGGCCGTCTGATCGACTAATACCCTACGTCATGTCTCTTTGTTGGATTGTATTAAATATGAGATGATTTCAAGGGGTCCCTGCCCACCTTATATAGTCTAGGGGCAGAGTTACGAGTCGATTAGATCTAGATCGATTCGGCTATATGGTAAGTATTTACAAGGAATACGATATCTATCATATCCGAACAGATCCTTCTCTATCTTCAAGATTCTTCTGATTGCATTGCGGTGCACGCCGACCAGAGCCGAGCACCATAGGCCTTGATCTTATGGGCTGGACCTCCCTTGGTGGTGCGGCCCATGTCCATTACTGTGGGTACCTGGGGTTATACCCTCCACAGCTAGTCCCCGAACGCCTTGTATCCACTTTGCAACGCCATCTTGATCTGGTCCGAGCAGTTTAACTTGGAGTCGGACAAAAAATCTGGCAATCTGACTAGTTTAACTGGTAATCCAATCCACAAAACGGAGTACCGACCAGTTTAACTGGTGATTCGATCGGTGGAAATTGAAGCCAGCCAATTTATCTGGTGACCTGATCTCGGACTTAGCCAAGTAAGGCTTGCCAGAAGGATGTAAGGAGCTTAAGTTTAAAATTTAAAAATTCTCCACCTTAGGTGAAGTGTACACACTTAGGCTTCGTTGGCGAAGTCAAATGATCATCATCCATGACTTAGGCAAAGAGGGTATTAGTACTGATATATATGCTGCAAGGTGCAATATATACATTGTAGTTCCTGAGCCTGACAGTAGGTGAAGAATGCCCCTGGTGTCACGATCAAAGAATATTAGCGACTGAAAAAGAAAAACGAGAACTTAGCCAACCACTAAGTTTGATACAAGCACCGCTAGGTGCAATATATACATTGTAGTCCCCGAGCCTAACAGTAGGTGAAGAGGACACTTGGTGTCAGGATCAAAGAATTTCAACGATCACTTAGTCAAAACAATCAATTCTCAGCTTAGCCGAGCACACAGCTAGTCCCCAGCTTAGCTGAAAAAACTGTAAGAAGAAAAAACAGTATATTTACCGTAAGGTGAAATGTACACACTTAGTCCCTGAGCCTGCTGTAAGATAAAAAAACATCTTGTAGCAGAATCAAAGAATTAAGTGTAAAGGATGAAGTCCCCGTGCTTAGCACTGGATAGCTTTGATAGATGTTCTTATCAAGGCCCCTGACGTGCCGCCCAGGATCAGCACTCTGATCTGGACAGCATGAAACACCTTGATAGCACACATGACATGCAGCGTCGGCAAAACCTAGAAAGCCAATAGGCGAATCGACAGATGAAGTCCTCAGCTTAGCTGGCGAGCCTCCAACGTAACTGACGATGAAGCGATAGACGATCCGACCAGTTGGTTGGCAAAGAATCAAGTACCGAGCAGCCCAACCAACTGGTCGGCGGCGAAGTGAGCGCCAAGCAGAAGTGAACGCCGAACAATCCAACCAACTGGTCGGCGACGAAGTCATGAACCTAATGGTTCGACCAGTTGATCGGCGGAGAAATCCGAAGGCCAGATGGTGCGACCACCCAGACGATGATCCTACAATATAAATATGTAGGATGGGTAGTACATGAAAAAATAAAATATATGAACTCGGTGATGAAGAAAACAGAGCGGATTTTATCAGGAGCAATGTATCGGTGAATTTTATATCTTGCAGGGCAGTTTATGTTTATTTGGAGTTTATTCATATTTGTATAAAGGATGAAATCTCCATGCTTAGCACTAGACATAAGAGTAAAATTTGGAGAGTGCTGAACACTTAAAAATGGAGAGAGTACTTAGCAATTAACCACGGCGAATTTTGGAGAGTGCTTAGCAGTATACCATAGTGAAATTGGAGAACATAGAGAAATTTGGAGAACCGTGGCGAAAATTGAAGACCGTGACAAAAATTGGAGACCGTGGCAAAATTTGGAGAACCGTGGCGAAAATTAGAGAACCGTGGCGAAAATTGGAGACCGTGGTGAAAATTGGAGAAACGTGGCGAAACTTGGAGACCGTGACGAAAATTGGAGACTGTGGAGAAAATTAGATAACCGTGGCGAAAATTGGAGAATCGTGGCGAAAATTGGAGACCGTGGCGAAAATTGGAGACTGTGGACAAAATAGTAGAACTATGGCGAAAATTAGAAAACTGTGGCGAAATTTGGAGAACCATGGTGAAAATTGGAGACCGTGGCGAAAATTGGAGAACCGTGGCGAAAATTGGAGACCGTGGAGACAATTAGAGAACCGTGGCAAAAATTGAAGACCATGGCGAAAATTAGAGACCATGGCGAAATTTGGAGAACCGTGGCGAAAATTCGAGACTATGTAGAAAATTGGAGAACCATGGCAAAAATTGGAGAACGTGGCAAAAATTAGAGACTGTGGCGAAATTTGGAGAACCGTGGCGAAAATTAGAGACCGTAGAGAAAATTGTAGAGCCGTGGTGAAAGTTGGAGACCTTGGAGAGTGCTAAGCACTGTACCGGCTTGATTACAACTCAGGCGACTCGCTTAGCAGCTCGCTCGGCGGCTCGGTGGCACGATGGCTCGAGCGGCACACGCGGCTCGGTGGCACAGCGGCTCGAGCGGCACGGCGGCACGGTGGCTCGGCGGCTACGCAGAGTCATAGGCAAACGGGCGTAATCGAAGCCTGGCGGAGTCAATTCATGTGGGGAGGCGAAGCCCTTGAGCGTGTCCGACCGAGACGAGGGTGCAGTTCGATTTGAATGGTGATAGTATACGTCATCTTAAAGATGTTTGGCATGGAGAAATAAGTAATTTGAGAAAAATTATGGAAAACAAATGGAGAAAGCATAGGGCCGCCGCTGCTGTTGGCAGTTATCAAGGTAGATAAAGTTATATATATGTTAGAATATTCAATGGAAAAAACCATGACTTAGCTCGTTTGGATTGATGACGTTGGAGTCACGTTTCATGAGTGTAGATCGGTAGCAAGGGAATTTATTTCTTGCATGCATGCTCGAGGCCGTATGTAGATGCGGTCAAAACACAGTGATGGTTTGTTTACTTATCTTGCATGGTATTCTAGATAATACGTCGTCCTTTGCTTGTTGACGTTGATAATGCGTCGCCGTGAGTTGCCCCGTAATGTCGAGTCGATAGTGAGGACCACACGAGCCGTCGACGAGGGCTGATGATCGCTGTCGAAGGATGATGATGAGTCAATGTTGGGTGATGTAGTCGAATTCTTGAAGTTGACCTGCATGCTGCTGGCTTGCCGCATGTTGCCATCTCCTTGATTGGTGCTAACGAAGCACAACGTTGGACCTCTGGATAACTCTGGCGTTTGAATCGTAGAAAGAGGACTTCACGCTGCATGGTGGCGTTCTTTGAGGCTGCTTGTCTTTCTCAATCGAGTACATGCACCTCGGTGGTAGGTATAGATCGCCCTACGTACTCCACACGAGAAGCCAGGCTTTTTTATAAAAGTAGGAGATCGGATCAAACCTTACGAAGAGCGATGCGCCTCGGAACCTTGAGTTGAGATCGCCGTCTCACGGAGCCAAGTCGTCGCCGCTGATGGTGATGTTGATGGAAATTCCCATCTGGTTCTCCCTAAGCGTAGCTGACGATGAAGCGACAGACAATCCGACCAGTTGGTTGGTGAAGAATCGAGCACCGAGCAGCCCAACCAACTAGTCGGTGGCGAAGTAAGCGCCGAGTAGAAGTGAGCGCCGAACAGTTCGATCAGCTGGTCGGATATTGCATTATGGGAAATCTTAAACACGGTGATATTAAATGTGGAGACATTTTGTTGGGTTCATAAACCTAGGGTCCCTCATGGACCAGCTAACCAGCAAAGGCTCGGCCCAACGGACGACGTTGCGAATGACGCGCAACTCCTGGGCTGGCCCAAATACCAAGCGATAGGCCAAAGGGCGAGCCAATCTTTGACCGGAAGGCCTGGCCGAGGAGGAATGACGCCCGCTTCTAACTTTGGCCCGCCTCTCCGACCGGAAGGCCTGGCTTGCTTCCGACTCTGACCCACCTCTTCGACCAGAAGGCCTGGTCAACGTCGCTTCCGACTTCGACCCGCGTCTCCAACCGAGGATGCACCAAACCTCTGCT